AGGCTACACAGAGATAGCGACGCTGCTGCTAGACAAGGGCGCCGACGTCAACGCCCAGGGCGGACACTACGGCAACGCACTCCAGGCGGCTTCAGCTCGTGGCCACAAAGAGGTCGCGACGCTGCTACTTGAAATGGGCGCAGTCACAACCACATTACCGTTGTTTACAGAGTTTGGCGATGGACGGGTGACCGATCCACAGCCCGGCGCTTTCACTGACTCTGGATATGGATCTAAGACATCTAAAATGGTTGAAGAAGCCCCCACTTCGGAAGCAGATATGGACAACGAGGGATCGATTTACTCCTCTCTGAGCGTACCCGAGTCTGTCAGTGCGGGATATATCTCCGAAATAGCTCAGGATCTTCTTAAATGCCTGGACTTCGATTCACTCGACAGCCAAGGCCTGGAGCGAATCTATAACGTTCTCCCCGACCATCTGAAAGCTCTTGCTCTCAAAGTTGGATATGGCACAGAGGACAAGGAGCTTCGTGATACCATGGTTTTCATTTACAGATTTCGAAAGTAGGTGGTTTTCCATAACCATTCCCTTCGCACCTGTATCTAATACTGACCCCATCCCTGCAGAAATGTCGTGGAATCCCTAAGAGAGGCCTTAGCCCCGCCTCCTGGCAGACCTTCTGCCCAAGTTGACAAAACCTTCATGGTTCAAAGCTGGCAACAGGACCAGGAGGATACTACTTACGATGCCGTAGACCTGCCCATGCCAGATCTTGAAGACCCAGGACAGGAAGCTATCAATCCACTTGACGAGCACATTGATCCCTACTTGGAGAACGACGACAATGTAGACGATGGACGTGATCCTACCAATAGACTCTCTCAGTATGGGAAACTTGTTGTTCAAGCACCCGCCTACCAGTGGCTTCTCGATAGTCTGAAACGGGAGTATCAGTTGACATGCGCTGAGCCAAACATCATGAAAAATATTAGGCAAGAAATCATTCGGTATCTTCCACCTCCCCGCAAAATCAGTAGGAGTCGGTCAGCCGAGGCATATAGGGTCACGTTTCAGGTGAACTGGGATTCGTTAGCCTTTCTTTCGGAGCAGGGCCATAAAGAGGATCCGGATAAGGTTATTGGAACGGTCGTCGCTCTCACTGGTTCCAATCGGGATGCTCAGGCCCAGACATGCATAGAGTACCTATGTCAAACCTGGCCACAAACCGGAAAACACGTCATGGACCTCATCAAGATCGTGATGCGCAAGAGCGACATGCCACATCATTGTAAGTGATGATGCTTCTTTACAAGATGCTGTTAAGTTAATAAGATGGTCCTAGACGAGCTCCCAGACAATACAAAGCTGGTTGCTTGGATATCAAAGCCAGACTTTATAATCGAAGCTACCGGAACGGCGTACTCTGTTGCCGAAATTGGCGAGCAGTTTGCATGGATTGGTGCTGCCCTCCGCTCATCTCCTAACGATTCGGGAGTTGTCTACTGTAAACCTCGTCTTGAAAAGATTCACACCAAGAGCTTTGGTCACTTAACTGAGATTGCTGTCAAAGCCCATATCGGTGTCAGCCTTGACTTCGACTTCGGCTCCGACGTAGAAAAAGACGAGGAGCAGCCAGGCAGGATTCAATGTCAATGCTGGCATGACATGTTCCAAAACCCAGTCATAGTGCAAGGTTTCCCCATACTCCGCAGACCAGAGCATGATACAGGCCTCGAAATTCCTCTTAACATGATGGCGGGTTTGATAGGCACGCAACGCGCTCATATGTTTGATGGGAAGCTGTTCATAAAAGGGTTTGCCTCCATGTTAGTCCCAACACGGTTCAGCCATGGTGTAATCCTTTGGCACTTTATGCAGCAAGAAGGGGGTTCCCGGATCCCATATACATTCAATCGCGGTGTTCATGCGAACAACGTCAATATCTCTGACTTGATCGACACTCGACACATCGTTGGATGGTGTTCTAGAGTAAAGAACTTCATTGGTAAGAGCAGCTCTGACTTAGTTCCTCGTATCTCAATCTGATCTCAGTCTGCTTTAGGGTCGGCTTGTGCGACATACCCGGTGGAAGGCTCGGGTCTGGATACACTCAGTACGGAATGCGAGTTCTCACCTACGGCGATGTCCAGAGGTGAGGCGATACATGGTGGTAGTTCTTACACTTTTAGTGCAAGAGATATGCCACGCCGCGTCCGCCAGAAGTCCTATCAAGAAATTTTCAAGGTCGTGCACCGGCGATATGTGGTTCTGTGGGACGAATCAAAAAAGCAGGGCTGGTTAGCCAATGGCACTACTGCTTTGTTGCATCTCCTCCGCGCTTGCCTAAGATCCCGCGCGGGGACAACACCTAAGAGTATGTTCAAGTTCGAATGGGAAGCGTTTCGTGACGCTGCACATCCTTACACAGCCGAATCAGCCTTCGAAGTGCTCACAAACGAGCAGTATAGGGCGTTGCCGGTCTATAAACAAACACCCGGGCAAAACGACCTGAGTGATACCTTTCTCGGGTACCAGATCGACACTCTCTACGAGATGTTGGAGAAGTTGATGGACCATCAGGATCTGTTTGTCGAAAAATACCGTCAAAGACCTGGACACGAGGCTTTTGCACATCTCGAAGGCTGGGACTTCAACGATGTAGCGGTTGATGCAAGCGTGCTGTCTCCTCGTATTGCGAGATTCGACACACCGGGCAAAAGCTGGCCTGCGTTGGTCCAATCTGTTCGCGCTATCACCCTGTTTGGTCGTGACTTCGGCGATATGATCATTCAAGACTCACATTCATACCATCGGTGCTGCGATTGGATCCGACTCCCAGCTAACCAAAATCTTCTCGCCGTCCTGATCTCGGATCTCAAGATGATGATGACAAATTATGGCGGAAGCCAATCGACGGTTCCCAGGAATCTAACGACTAGCGTCGCGTGGCACGGCTCAACCAGGATTTTCGACTCATGTATCTGTGCAGACTCTAGCTCCGAAGGACACGTTGACAGAATTCAGGTTCTGTACTCCAAGAAGTCTAATCAGACCACTGATCTCAAAGAGCAATGCGACCTACCTGATGACGGCGCGGTTCTTTTTCACTTCAACGGACATGATGTCCGTCCCCAGATCAGTCGCAGTGCTGAACTATCTCTCACATCACCTGGTTCCTCAGGTATACAGTCTTCATCGTTTGCGCCAGGAAGCAATGGTACTGTTTCTTCCAATGGAACGCCGAACTTGCGGTGGGCCTCTAAAAGACCACGTGAATACTGTAATGTTGATGAACAACCGCCACAAGCCAACTTCACTTGCGGGGGCAGTACGAATTCGAACGTAAAGTCACGTCCTCCAGTTCCGAGTCATCATCAATTCTACATCGCTATGATATGTGCACTCGCCGTAGAGGCTAGCGCTGTTGCAGCTCTACTCGACGGCATCTGGATGAAAGAAGGCATCATCCATGGGCAAAACGACGAAAGCAATACCTATACTACGGGTTGGATGGGGCGCCACAATGTGGTTCTTGTGCAAATGTCCGGTCCCGGGAAGTTAGCAGGAGCGCATACGGCTGGCGCCTTACTGAAAAGCTTTCCGAAAGTCAATCTTGTTCTTGTTGTCGGTGTCTGTGGCGGAACGCCAAACCATCCAGAAACCAAAGAAGAGATACGGTTAGGGGATGTTATCATCGGCACTGAGATTGTGCAGTATGACTACGCACGCCAATACGACAATAAAATTGTAAGGAAGAATACGCGCCGCGATGACCTTGGCCGACCTCCCGAAATGATCCGAGCGTTTCTGAAAAAGCTTTCCTGGGTAACTACTATAGAGGACCTACACGAAACTACTGAAGAATTTTTGAGGAAACTGTGCGCGACTACAGGCTTCCAAGACCATTCCTATCCAGGGCCTGAGAATGACAAACTGTACCAGGCGGAGTACGTTCACAGACATCGAGACGAACAGGAATGCGATACGAGAGACTGTTTCGAATACCAAAGAGCTGGCGCTTGTTCGACTGCCATGGAAATGTTGTGCGTGGATCTCAAATGCAATCCACAGAAATTAGTCCACCGCAAGGAAGCCAAAATTGGACGACCTAAAATCCATCTTGGCCGCATTGGATGTGGTGACTCGGTCATAAAGTCAGCGGAGTTTCGGGACAAGACTGCCCGAGAAGACGAACTCATTGCTTACGAGATGGAGAGCGCAGGGATATATGAGAGAATACCGGCGACAATCGTTATCAAAAGCGTTTGCGATTATGCTGACAGCCATAAGAACAAAGGCTGGCAAAAGCACGCTGCAGCTACGTCTGCAGCATGCGCGAAAGCGGTGTTAGGCATGTGGGAGTTTTCTAATGCAGGAAAGTATAAACGTCGGAAATCTTAGCTAAGCGAGCAGCCTTCAGTATGCTTACCTACACACACACACACACACAATTTATTTACGCCCGGCGGCCGAGCCGAAAGGGCTACTAACGATGATCTGCTACTACACTGCTTATGCTACATCGCGGCCTCACTAGCCCCTGTGTCTTCCCTAACTTGCTTCTCCATGCCACTTGTTGTTCTAGTTAAAGCCCTTGCTCTATATCTAGGTTGCTTGTTCTCTATCTACTGTCTCTTATTAGGCGCTTGTAGGTTAGTATTGTTAATAGTAGACTAGCTTAGAGTTAGCGTCTCTAAGAGACTCTCTAAGTGTTTAGCATCCTATCTTTAGTAGCTAAAGCGCTGTCTACTCTATGCTGCATAAGGTTATTAATAAGTTTGTATTAGTAGGTAAGGTTTATCTAGTTATTAGATATTAATTTGCGTTAAGTCTTCCTGTTGCTATTGCAAATTAAATTGTTACTTGCACTGCGCCTATGTCTGGCGCCCACTTCGCGTTGTCTGTTGCTGCCTTGCCGCCCAGGTAGAACAACATGTTTCCTCTGCCTGTCTGCGTGCACTGCAGCATCTCTGTTCGCTGTGCTGTCCACCGTCTGCATTAGAACAGAAAGTGCTCCACTGTCTCTGCCGCCTGTCCACATCCACACTGATCTGTGTCACAAGCTTTAATTCAGTGTAGATACGTGTTTAGCTGTGCCATGCCTGTTCTTAGCTGCGCGAGCACGCTGCTCTCTTTCTGCGATAGCTAGTTATACAGTTAACGTGTGTGCTTTCCTAGCAGTGCCTTGTTAATTCGCTTAGAGTAGTTTCCTACTTTTTCTAGCACCTTCTTGACGTTGTCTTGCTTGCGTGCAATATTGTGTGTGGTTGATTGCATCCTAGGGAGCTGTGTCTGCAGCATGGTGTTAGGTCTTATTAACGTCTTTGCCTCCTGCTTAGCAAGGCGTGCAAGCTCGCACTCTTTGCTTGCAGGCAGCTACAGCACTGTCACTGTATTACTATCTCTTTACAGTGTTTGCACAGTCCTATAAAGCTAGCTAATGTAGTTTTAACCTAACTATTGTTAAGGTCTTCTTAGCGTAAGCATAGTAGCTTTATTTCTTATTATTAGTGTGATATTGCAAAACCTAAGCTTTGGCAGCCTACTCAGCGCTTTAGCTATTGCCGCTAGCTCTGCTAAGTACAGGTTCTGCTCCTCTCTCTTACCTATTATAGTAGAGAATAACAGTGTTTTATTGTTCTGTATGCTAATTGCAGCTCCTATCCTAACTATTCTATTGCGCAATAAACTGCTTACTATAATACGTACTGCCTAGTTAGCCTTAAGCCTCTGTGCTGCATCCTTAGTCACTACCTACACTCTCTTCTCCTATAGCACTAAGACACATAGCTAGATTATCTCTATCTGTTCTATCTCTATATCCTTAAGCACCTTAGCTACCTAGTAGAGTAGTAAGTAGTACTATCTCCTAAACTTGCGCATACGTGACGTGTTTCTTTGCAGCAGGTTAGTCTTAGGCAACACGTAAATATTAGTCTACAGCTTAACTACTTACTTCTAGAATTACTCTTGCGCGCTTAGGATGTGCGCTTCTGCCTCTACTACCTATATTGCTACTATAGCAAATGTCCCTATAATTGCCTGTGCTCCTATTCTCTACACTCTATTAATAGGCCTTGTAAGTTTGTCCTTGTAGGCGTGCATCCACATGTTTGACGCGTAGTCTACTGTCAGCGCAACAGCCGCTGTGAACAGCTGCTGTGCCACTGTGGGCGAGAGCCCTCTTAGTCTCCTGAGCTCCAGTGCTGCTTCCAGCCCCTTTGCGGCTGCTCTTGCGATGTGCTTGTGGTACTTGAGCCTGGCGTCCATAAGCACGCTAAGTATCTTGACGTGGTCCTTGGGCGACACGCTCTGCCCCTTAATAACAAAGGGGTCTGCAGCGCTCTTGTATGCTTTGCAAGTGAAGTAGATAATAGCTATCTTCTCTGCTTTAAATATTGCCCTACTTCTCTGTTCCTAGTCTAGTGTGTCTCTAATAATTGCTTTAATACCCTCCCTGTTGCTTTGCACTATTAGCCCTGTAACCTACGCAGTAAAGTTATCTATAAATATAATTATACTACTATATATATTAACATATTATTACACTAGGTCTACATTAAAAAAGAGAAACGAAATAGGAGATAGAGGCAACCCCTGTGGCAGACCTGCCTAGGGCAGCTCTTAAACCTTAGACGCCTGTCTGTTAACTTAGATTGATGCAGTGCGCTGTGAGCAGAACGCTTCTACCCACAGCAACAGCCTCTCTAGTATGCCGCGCGCTTTCATTCTCTGCAGCAGTCTCTCCTTGCACACTCTGTTGTACGCTCCTTTGACATCAAAGCTGATCAGGCTGACTGTCTGCTAGCCCTGCCACGCAGTGTAGATTTGTTCTTAGAGAAGCACTAGCGCTTACTCTACTAATTGTTGCTTGCGCGCTCTAAAGTAGTTAGTAGGTAGTAACCTGTGCATCTTAACTATGTGCAAGATCCTCTCTACTACTACTAACTCTAGCACTTTGCCTAGCGTAGCAAGCAGTAAGATTAGTCTCTAGGCTTTTGCAGCAGTGTAGTCTTCCTTACCTAGCTTCTTAAGCGGGATAATCTTAGCGTGTCTCTACTAGCTAGGCAGTAATCCCTCTTCTAGCAACTATTAGAACAGCGCAAGGACATAGTCTTTGACCACCAGCTAGATCTGCTTCCACACCACAACTGGCAGTCTATTGTCTCTAGGTGCTTTCCATGACTTTGCAGCGTGCAGCTGCTATTCCACCTCTTTAAGCGTGATGGTTGGCATTTCTACAGGCGCTTACTACAGCCTGTGTCCTTTGTTGTTAATATAGCTAGGAAGTAGAGGGAAGAAAGTGCTGAGCAGCTCCTCAGCTTGCTCCCTGTAGTTAGTTATAGTTATTCTGTCTATTCTATAAAGGCCTAGGACTGTCCTAAATACCTTAGTACTAGTCTTTAGGTACTTAGCTGCGTTCTAGATATTATTATTGTCTGCTAGGAAGTTATCCTAGTGCTTTCTCTTCTGCTGTTAAATAGCATTATAGTACTACTTTGCTACTCCCTTTGCTGTCTCTTCTAGGTCTAGCCTAGCACCTCCTAAGTGTCTTGCTGCTCTTGCTTAGTTCCTCTAATGCGTGTAGACACAGCGTAGTTGTGTCAAGTCTTGCGTCCACCATCTCTTCGCGTATGGTGATGGCCTAGCCCTAGGAGTCAGTGCGTGCACCGCCTCCAGCACTACCGCCATCAGTCTGTCCGTTTGCTGCTGCGTCATGCCCACTGGCAGCGTCGCACCAAGCGTCCTGGAGATCCTGTCCCTGATTGCCTTCCACGGTGCGTTCTTGAGCAGAAGCCGCTCCTGCTGCTGCTGCGACAGCGCCGGCACTGAGCTGTCGAAGACTGTCTTAATCGTCCGGTGGTCAGAGCTGTGTTCAGTTGCACGGATTGCGCATCTCGTCACTGCATCTGTCAGCTCTCTCAACGCTAGCACTAAGTTAATTATCGTCTTGTAGTCTCCGCCTTGCCACGTCTTGGTGCTGCGCAGGAGCAGACTGCTGAGTGCGTGCTCTGTCATCAGGTCAATGATTGGGTCTGCTTCGCCCTGTCTAACCATCGTCACATCCTCCCCTCCCCACAGCTAGTCGTGTTGGTTGAAGTCGCCAGCCAGCACCACGTCCACCACTGTGCTGGCCCTTCGTCTAACCTCCGCAATCGCCTCGTCTAGCTTGTTGCATGCGTCTCACAGCGCCTACGGGTCTCCTCCTGGTATGTACACTGACACCACCAATACCTGCCGCTTGTGCAGCCAGATGATCGCTGCTGTCAAGTCCGGCGACTCAATCCGCACCTGCTCTGCCTCCACTTCTCTGCTCACCCACAGCATGCTCCGTATCGGCCACCTCCCCTCTCGCCAGGTTGACGGCACCATCTTGGTCCACTTGTGATGGAGCATAGGCGTTGTCAGCAGCTGGCCTTGCATCCTCTGCGCGTGCGGCTCCTGGATGGCTATTACTGTTACATCTTGCATCTCTTTGTTGTTCATTAGGCTGTTGTGTACTTTACCTTGCTTTCTAATATTAAGCTAGATTATGCAGAATACTCTATTCATGCTAAGGTAGGTAGAGTATCTAACAGTTTCTGCTAAATAACTTGTGTAGTCCTCTACACAGCACACACTTTATTACTATTTTGCTGCAGCTCTTGTGGTAGTGACTGTCTTTAGCGCATTGCCTGTATCTCTGCGTCTTTCTACACTAATACGCTTTGTGGCTAAGCTCCTAGCAGTTGTAGCATTGCCTAGGCTGTGACTAGTGTTTAAAAGCACTTGTTGTGCCAGACTCTCTACTAGTGTGGAAGTAGCCTTCTGCAACAAGCCTCCTTGCATTGCTCTTCTTAGTTATATACACTACTATAGACCTATACGCCTTTAGGACATCCCTCTTACTTAGCCACACAATCTTAGCAACTATTATTCTGTTCTCTCTACTAAAAGCTTCTATAGCTCCTGCCCTACTTTTATCCTTCTTATTTAGCACTGCAGTTCTCTTTATGTTGTTAACCTTGACTAGGAAGAGCTTATTGCGTAACACGCGCGAGCCTGCACTGATCTTCTCTGCTGCTTTCTTGACAAGCTTGTGCTTGTCTTTGTCTCTACACGCGATCCTGATGCGGCTCTGGGTGGCGTGGTCTGCAGTGACCGCCCGGCATCGCCAGTTCCCGTGACTCTCCATCGTGCGCATTTCCTTTTCCACCGCTGCTCTGACCGTGCCCGCTGACATCCTGCCATGTTCGCGATCTGCTCTGGAGATGTCTACTGTGACGTTGGGCACGTCGCCAGGAGCGAGGTTAGGTCTGCTAGCGTGTGGCTGACTCGGTGGCGTTCCAGAAGTGGCGCTCGCACCCGCCACCGCAGCCCAGGAACGCGCACCTAAGGATGCCGCTGCCGCAAGGTCGTTGACGCGCGCTTTAAGCTCTGCAACTTTGTCAATAAGCTTAATATTATAGTTAATGATAGCCTATTAGTTCTGTCTAATCTCTTTAGTTTTATATTTAAGGTTTCTAATATGTTAGTCTTAGTCAATTACTAAATAATATTAGTTAAGGTAATAAGCAGGTCTTTATTAGTTGTAGCGCTCCTCCTAGTTTAAGGGTTAGGCTAGCTACTTTTAATTAGGATAGTATTAGAGTTGTTAGCTAATAGTTCTAGCTGTAACAGTGGCCTGTAGTAGCGTCTGCCTTGCTTAATAGTGTTTCTTAGGCGTCTCTTCTATAGTGCTAGTAGCTTAAAGGGCAAGGACAGAGTGTTGCAGTTGCGGTCGCGTTCCTGGTCGCGTTCTTGGTCGCGTTCAGGGGCCGAGAACGCCACCTCCCTCACAAGCCCAGATCGTAAGCTCATCCCCAAGATCCAAAAGTCTCTCCCGTTGGGCTACTCGCAGTGTACAGTCGCCGCTTACCTACAGTCGCGAGCATAATCGGTTTCCGGTTCTGCAGTCAGCTTTGTTCTCGCCAAACGGTCCACGCGGCAAGGTTCCTTCTACATCAATACTAGCGTCTTGCAGGGGTAGCTGTGTAATCTATACCACTTGCTGTATTTAAAGTATCCTGTGACCAGGTGCATAAGCAGTCATCTTCGATTCGTGGTAATCTATCACAGTCGTCTAACAACATCAAGGACAAAAACGTACAGAGGAAAAACACGACAAACAGCGAGAAATCAATTTTTAGAATTACCATTACAAAAAGTAACTTACCTATTAAAAACACTTGCCAATGGCCGCAACAGTCTCTACAGACCACCGCGCGTCCCCCAGCGTCGGTTGGCATCTGTAGAGCCGCTGTTGCGGCCCTGGCGGGTACAGACAGCAAAATCCGCGAGCAAGCTACTTAATATGACACGTCCACTAAAGGCAGCGGCAGCCATCTAGCCACGACACAGCCTCGTCCACTGTCGCCTCTTTGTGTCGAAGGAGTGGTGCCCCTTCGACACAACCCGACAAGGTCTGAGGAGATTTGCGCGAGAGCTCTCATACTCAGTAGGCTCGACGGCACGCACGAGCGGAGCATCACTCTTGTGGAGCCGCGTTACGACGAAATGCTGCTGCCGCAGCGCCTGATGGCAGGTCACACCACAAAACACAGCCGCATAGGAACCTAGTGGACGGCATCACAACACAAAAGAATACCAGAGTTTAGAAAACACATTGCAGGCCCTGGGTCATAAGGGCAAGCTAGCACACACGACAGCTGAACGCTAGGGGGAGACTGAAGGTATTGCAGTCGCAAAACACGAGGCAACCGTGCCTCTACGAGCCTTAAACAACGCTGCACACACGAGACTTCGAGTATAGCATACACGCAGGAAGAAAATTCGAGAAACACAAACACAGGCAAACACGTCACTTCTAGAGACGAGATGTACATAGTCGTAGATAGAAGCCAGACACCGCAGGCCTCTGGGGACAGATGGCTCTTTCGAGGGTGAAGTGGGGCAGTGCAGATTCATGTCCGCACCGCGTCGGCTGTCTGCCACGCCTAGCCAAGATAAGGGCCCGGGGTGGACACCAAACCGCGGCAAAAGAGGCTTAGCGTTAGGGTTTGACCCCTTTTAAGTGGTCTGCTTTAGTGGTCCCCTGCGTTACCCTAACACCACTAACCTACTATTACTTTGCGCCTAAATTAAAAAATATCTTATATAACGTAGATTATCACCAAGCCAGCCATATCACTAAAGCAGCCATTTTCTCTTAGCATAACTAACACAAGTTACTATAACTACAACTACTTACTATTAAATAGTAACTAAGTATACTACGTGCTTGCATTAGATTTAGAAGATATTTCTACACCCTCCTAGCATGTTTGTATGTTATGTCTAGTCTTGCTGTAGTTCCTACAGCGCTAAACAGTTAACTAAGCTCCTAGTTAACCACCTCTACTGTAACGACGCAGGCAAGAAGAGAGATATCCGGAATAGGTGTGAATCCGCTACGAGGCATATGGGAGTGCTAGGATGATAAGAACACCAGGATATATTCTCTACACTTATAGGTTGTACAAAAGGATACAGAAAAACTACTCTACAATGCTACAGTTCCTTGCTCCTTATATATAAGGGTTTAGTGGTAGTTTAGTGTGAGCTTATGCCATGCAACAAGGGCTATAGTTATAAGTTGCTAGAACTATATCCTAGTAGTATTAGGTTACTATTCGTAGAGCGTTGTTACACTACCCCCCTCCTTATAGACAGATAGTCCTATATCTGTGACTTAGGTTTAAAACAGAATGTATACAGAGGTAGTAAGTAAAAAAGAATTAGCAGTAGGTAACGTGAACCTACTTTTACTTTGTGTTGTTATATATTCTGTTATTATAGTGACACAACTAAGTATACTAACAGAGAGGTTCTTTAAGTTTCTGTTTTATCTTAAGCAAATAGAACACCTCTGCGTACATATATTAGACTAACTTAGCTATACATCTAACCTTTAACAAGTTGTAACACATTATGCTAATCCCTATACTACCTAGGGCGCTTCTAGAGGCTTACAGAGTTATCTGTATTTGTTCAGTCTAGGCTGCTGCTTGCAGCTAATTTGTTAACTTTGAGTTTTTATTAATAAGCTCTAAGAAGTGTGTGTACTGCACTTTTTAAAATAAGAAGTGTGTTCTAGTACAAATCTAATACTAGCTATTGCCTAGTTATACATTAACAGATTCTAGCTTCCTACTTATGTGGAAAGCGAATTCTCTGTCTTTTGGCAGGCCCTTGGACAATACGAGGTCGCGCTCAGCAGCGACGTGATTCATGACCGTCACATCACGGAGGCTAGGGTCTGGGCTGCCGCCTTCGCGCTGGCGAGCTGTGTGCAGGTAGCGACTGCCCAGCTCAAGAGCGTGTCGGTGGTGGACGTGCTACTAGCGGACTACTATTGGGTAGCGGAGGAGAATCAGGTCCTTCAAGTTCAGATAGCTAATCTAGCGGCAGCTGTTAAGAAGGTGGTGGGAGCTTAGGTAGAGCTAACAAAGGCTTTGCAGGGCCTTGTGGAAGGAGGGAGTTAAGGTAGAAAAGGACAACAAGGTGGACAGGGCAGTTGTCTAAGTGGTAGAAGGGGGAATAGATATAATAGTAGTTTAGGAGGAGCAGTTAGGGCAGAGTTAGACAGCGAGCTGTCTAACGTGCCTTATAAATTTTCAGGTAACAAGATAAACCTACTGTAAGGCCTAAGGTAGGGTCTAAAACTAGCTAGTTTATACCTGTAGATAGCGTGTTATAACAAACTGCGTTTGTTCTCCCTTACTTTGTTATCCTTTAGCTGCAACATGTCTTCTATTCCTTTCTCCTACGCGTTAATCTATTTGTCTAGACCTCTTAGAGGTCCTAGCTAATTTAGGTATTGTTTGTGGAACGCTCTTAACTTATAGGGGGCGCCTATAAAGTTAGAGGCGTTATACTAAGTAGGGTCCTAATTGTGGCCTACCTACTTAACCTAATACTTTAGGGTTGCGTGATAGAGCTTGCTAGCTAGGATTTCTTCCACTTCCCACTCTTTAACGCCTTAGATAGGGATACCTAAGGGTTTTAGCACTTCTTGTCCTAGGAGTAGGTCCTAGGGGTCTTTGCATAACATATTTAGGGTGAACATATTATAGATGCAAGATCCCTTAGGTAAGTTAAGTTAGTATAAATGTCCTACCTATTCTAGTACTTAAAATAGACCTTCCTACAGGTTAGATAGCTTTCTACTAGGGCGTAGGTTTAACAGGTTCTTAGTGCTTAGATAGACTATATTACTAACCTTCTAATTAACTAGTTAATAATGCTTATTAACTGTAGTCTGTATTTAGAGTTAAGCCTGTTCTATATTCTTCTTAGCTGTAGCCTAGGCGTTATGCATGCGAGTGGCTAGGGCTAAGGCATCCTTATAGTTTATAGCTTCTAGTCCTTTTCCTTTTACTAGTTAGTTATTCTAGAACTAGCTCTGCTTTATTTAGAACTAAAAAGGACCTAATACAGGGCTATACTAATTGCTAAGTAGGGTAGGGTTATTTAGGCTTAGTTAATTATAGGCAGTAGATTACTCTAGTTATCCTAGTAGTAGGATATAAACAGGCGCAATCTCTAGTTAATATACTTATTTATAATTTTAGTTTAACTATCTATTTCCTTGTAATAGGCAGTTAATAGTTTAACCTTCATACTAATAATATTATAGAAGGCAGACTAGAAAGTAGACACAAATTATAGACTACAGTCTAACACAATAGACTCTAGGGTGTAGCTAAATTAGTACACTTATTAGATAAACAGGTTAGCTATACCTTAGGCGTTTATATTCTTATAACATAGTATTATAATTGCTTATTTAGACAGGTAGTTAATAATTACTATAATCTAGTTATAACTAGCTTTATCTAGTAGAAAATCCTTAAAGTCTATATAAAGATATTGCATAGGTTAGTCTAGGATAGGCAAGGGGTAGAGGTAACCTTAGAGTTAGGTCTGCTTTAGATGTCCTCTTTAGTATAGAATGCAGTTACAAACATAATATTAATATAAAGTTTCTATACCTTTCTAGTAATATTTCTTAGATAATAACTAATAAGTCTTTTTTATACTTAGATGCGCAGATAATACTTAGTTATAGACCTCCTAAATTAACTGTGTACAGAGGGTAGAGTCTGCCTAAACGCAGAGACAATCCTTGTAGAGCAATAGTCTATTACTAATGTAATACTAGTTAGGCAAACTTTCGCGTTCTAGACTAAAGCTAGTCTAGTTGTCCTGTAGTAATGCTTTGATTAATTCTAACAAGTCTAGGTCTATATAGCGCTTGCTGGTACTAAGCACGTGGATTTAGGCGTTAGGTTGTTGATCTCCTATGTATTTCTGGGCGAGATTAGAGTTGATACAAGTGTTAAGTTAATTTAGGCCTAGGAAAACGCGTAAACAATTGTCTTGCTAGGCAACCTGTAAGTTACTTAGATCTTATTCCCTACAGCTTAAGATGTCTGCTCTAGCGTTGCTTGCGCCTAGAGTATACTTAATTTAGAAGTTAAACAGGGCTATAGTCTCTGCCTAATAAACTTGTCTTGCACTAAGTACTTTAGTTATTATAAAGTACTCTAGTGCTCTATAGTTAGAGAACACTTAGACGCAAGATTAGGCACTTGTTAGTTCTACTCTCTACTTGTAAAAAGCTTAGTGTATAGCAAACAACTCCTTATTATGTATCTCCTAGTTTAGCTCTAAACTAGATAAGACTTAGCTGTAGAACGCAACTAGGTACTATTTTCTGTTAGGGTGTTTTTGTAATAGTACTCCTGCAACCACACTATTAGAGGCGTTAGTCTCTAGTTTTGTATTGTACTTAGGGTTGAAATAGCACAGGGTTAGAATTAACAGTAAGGCTACTTTAAGGTGCTTAAAAGCAACATTATACTCTGTAGTCTAGTTAAAGGGGATAGAGGGGCTTTGTAATACAATTAGCGGCTTAGCTACGTAAAAGAAATTAGGTACAAATTGTTAATAGAAACCTGTAAATCCTAGAAACAATTTCACACTAGTAATAGTTGTAGGTTACTCCTAGTTTTATAAGGCTTCTACTTTGTTAGGGTTAACCTTAATTCCTTAGTTAGTAAGGATATAACCTAGATACTTTGTCCTTGTAATATAGAACTTACTTTTCTTAATATTAGCCTAGAGTCCTGCAATTTGCAACCTCTCTAGAACTTTTTTAATATATAACTAGTAAGTCCTAGGGTTGTTAGAGTAGATAAGGATGTTATTAAGGTAGGCAATATAAAAATTATTAAGATAGTTAATTAAAATATTGTTTATATACTATTAATAGGTTACAGGGCTGTTAGTTAATCTAAATAGTAGTACTTTATATTTATAGGTTCTATAACAAGTCTAAAAGGTTGTGTACTCCTCTAAGGCAGGATCTATCTATATTTAATTAAAGGCTGCGCAGATATCTAACTTAGAGAAGATCTTTGCTTTAGATAGTTGTGTAAGTAGTTTGTCTATGCGTGGTATTAGATATGTATCTTTCTAAGTTAGTTAGTTAAGCTTCTAATAGTCTACGTAGATGTGCAGATTGCTATTTAACTTGTAAACACATAGGATAGGAGAGGTGAACAGGCTGCTACTGCTTTTAATCTAGCCTTGCTTAAGGTGGTCCTGCACATATTGCTTAGTTGCTTCTAGTTCCTCTAGATTTTGCTTATACAGAGGACTAAAGTTGTTTAGAAGGGGTTTAGTTAATATAATCTTGTAGTTATAGGGTTAGTGCTTAGGGAGTTCCTTAGCGGCTGTTTTACTAAACACATCCTAATACAGGTTATAACAAGCTAGAAGTCGTGCGTTAATAAGCACAGCATTCTTAGGGTTGTCCTCTAGTTTCTTGTCTATAATTAGTTAGTTTATCTTGTATAAACTAGTTGTAAAGAATTTGTTTTCTTTTCTTTTTATATTAAAATAGAACGTATTTGCAGAAATAAGAGTAATAGAAGGCAAAGGTAAAGGATTTAGAGGGGTTTTAAGAGTTAGTTATTGTAAGTCTAGAGGTAAACTTAGAATTATAGGAGGTGTAAACTTCTAACTCTTTAGCGTGCAGAGTAATCCTCTAATTTAATAGATAACTAGTGTGCTATAGCTTCTCTAATACT